TATATACAGGGTTTCCCGATGAGGTCAAACTAATATCAGTTCTTCATATAAATATTTTTCATACGGACCTTCGTTAACAAGTTACGGGCCCTCAATGGTGAAAATTAAATAGTTATTTTTATTTACAGTCTCTAAACTATTAGCGTACGACTTGTTTTTGATATTATAAGTGAAACTTCATTATGCCCAGAACGCCAGGGACGGACTATGCCTAATGGTTAACAACCCAGAATTTTTGTATAGATGACGATCACAATCTGCCTGTATCAAAAATAAGTTCCCTGAAGAATTTGCCAACGATAATACCCTCTTGGTTCAACTCGGTAAAACTAACAGTTTAGGAAATATTGGCGACTTAAATTAAAAACAAAAAATGGTGGAGGCGCCGCTCGATGTGTACTGTGACATAAAATCACAAATATTTTTACTTATTTTTGATATAGGCAGATTGCGATCGCCTTCTATGCAAAAATTCTGGGTTGTTAACCATTGGGCATAGTCCGTCCCTGGCGTTCTGGGCATAATGAAGTTTCACTTATAATATCAAAAACAAGTCGTACGCTAATAGTTTAGAGACTGTAAATAAAAACAACTATTTAATTTTCACCATTGAGGGCCCGTAACTTGTTAACGAAGGCCCGTATGAAAAAAATTTACATGAAGAACTGATATTATTTTGACCTAATCTATTTGTACTCGACTTTTTTGTATCATGTACCGGGGCACCCTGTATATCAGCACAATATTATTTTTCGATAATTTATACCTAGGACTATCAATTTTTAGAATTTTGTACCAATTTGTAATTTTAGATTATAAATATAATATTACCTGTTAATAAACAAATTATATTGTCCATGGTCATTGAATAGAATCAATTATAGATAAATTTACAATAAAATAGGGATAAATACGATCGAATACAAGTAATTTGCTCATGTATTTAAATACATAATATAAAACCATCCTTAAATAACTATATTTACCTGACCTAAGTAAAATTTCTGCAGGGAAGTTACCTGCCCTGCTATTAAGGTCTCCTGTCTTTGTCACTCATTCTACGGACTCTCTTCTTGATCTGCGCCTCTCGGAGACACGATAAGTTTGGTCAAGCTGTACATTTAATGTAAAGGTACGGATTTTAAAACAATTAATATATTCGTAAATATTGTCAAATATATGTACACCCTGTAGATAACTTTATTTGCTGGCATCAATTAACCTCTAAATTTAAATTTGAATATTTGCAATGAGATGACATTGACATTTTTTAATTAATTTCGCATCACTTGGAAATAGCAAGCCGACTCCTTGCTTTGTTGACAACCATCTAAAGTATCAAAGTAGCGCCTCTGTGTATATTTATTGTTGAATTAGTGATAATACGTCATAATTTGATGAAAGAAGTGACTTAGATAATAGTTCATTTGCACTCCGATATACAGGGAAATACTGAAAATGTTGTGGTTTTTCTTCTACCAGGAAAACCACGAAATCTATGTAGAGGTACGAGGAAAATAACACATGAGAGGGTTTTACTGGAATGCTTTGTTTATTTATTTAAAGACCCTGCTGCATTTTTGAAACGTAAATAAGGTAGAATGGGACAAACAAAAATTTAAACTAAACTAAACAAGATGTCATAAAGTTTTTGACAGAAGCTGAAGACAAAACATTTTCAATTACAAAAGCAACTATGACTATTGGATTGATGCTGTTTTGTTTTCACATTCCACTTAACATTGCTTCATCAATTAAAATTAAAATTAAAATTAAACAAAATTAAAGACATAAAATTAAACTTTTAGAAAAAAATGGCATTTTGAAAAGACAGTGTCAAAGAGCTGTATATCAGTACATGTTTACATTTATTTCCAAAATATGCAAAATAAAATTGTAGAAATAGTTTACTTTTAATTCATTTCAAATATAAAGGTTCTGCGAATTTTTTGTTGGAAATTTTTGGGTATTTTCAGTCCTCTTCTTTTGAATAACTATACCGTTGTAGCAATGGCAGTGTTTTTCGATACCGAGATAAAAAAAACTGTTTTGAAGCTTTAACTATTTAGTTTCAAGATCTTTTGACGAACAATAATTGTTTTGGGCTATAATTACTTTCAAATTTTTTTTTGGACTGTCCACATACTCAAGAAAAAAAGGTTTCCATGACATTTTTGTCTTTAATCATCGATATCTCAACAAAATATTTCCCTGTAAATTCGAGAGCGGTTCTGAAAACTTCAATAAATTCTCTACAAGGACCTATCAGGGTTTTCGAAGAAATTTTTTTTCATCCTTGGTATTAATTTGAAATAAGTACGAAAAAATGGCTTTTTACGGTTTTTTAGAAAATCAACCACTAATTTACAAATATTGATGAAAAGACTAATGCTGAGAAAATTTTTTTCAGCTGAATGTACCCACAATAAGCCTGTCAATTGACAAGTTCATCCATCCAACCGTTTTTCTTTTCCAAATGATCAAAGTTTTAGGAATAATTAAACATTACGTAATCATTATTAAAGTAAAAAATTATTTTTCTCGATTTTTCCCACAGTTTTATATTAGATATCGTTTAAATTTAAGAAAAAATAAAAAATTCAAAAAATTTTCAAAAAATGTTTCACAATTTTTTTCTTTTTTCTTTTGGAAAAGTTGCTGGACACTTGAGAAAACAATATCTTATCGTTTCTGATAAAATAAAAATTTGGTTATAATAACATTTGATTATTTTTTTTTACCAAAAATAAATTAGTTTAAAAAACCCAAAATCAATCTTATGAATTAGTCCTCAAAATGGGACCCTAAATTCCGAAAAACATTAATATCTCTGCAACACTTTACCGCAGAAGAACCAAATTTGGTACATGATTTAGGTTTATTACTGGTCTTCTTTGACTATGATTTAAAGTTAATTGAAGCACTACAAGGTGTTCATTGGGGATGACTTACCACTAAAATTGTACTGAACTTTTTTTTCAATGACCGAATTTAAAAGTTTTGTTTTTTTAATTTTGACTTTGTTTTTAACATCCTGTATAATGAGTTATTATTACTTTTCTTACAATATCAGCAGTGAAATATTTTTCCTATCATTTCTGGTATTAAAAAACATGATTTCATTTGACGGAGTTTTAAGGACATTTTTTTTTTAATTCATGTGATTTAGCTAAATATCTCATTTAAAGGTAAAGAATAAATGTATTCAATATCATTACTTTCTACATTTGTTTTTTAGCCATGACCATTCATTTTGAAGTAATAATTTTTTTTACTTTTTGAGATACGTATGCCAAACTTTACATTGCTGGAAAACACAGAATATCTACTCTCATTTTAACTAGATCATGGCCAACTATAGATTTCGTAAAAAAATATAACTTTGATTTGTAAGTCAAAAACTGTTACAGTTATTAAAAAATTCCAGTACAGGATTACCCAAAGTCTCTATCTCATTTCTATGGTGGGTTTTTATGTTTTTTTTATCAAAATTTGGATCTTTCTATCTTTAATAATAATCAAGATGCCCTAACATGACATGGAAAATAGAATGCACTGTACGACGTCTCAAAAACACCATATTGATTGATTTTTGCACACAAGTGCATTTGCTCGGAATATTACTCGAGGTGGGTTGGTAGCACTGGTGGCAGTAAGTAAACCTTGAAAGTGTTTATAGCCGTAAACGCAAATTTGCTTATTTGGGTCAAATCGTATTTATCTAACAGATTAAAATGTGTTAATTGCAGTTCTGGTTATCTTGCAGTTTAGAAATTACGTTTAGATTAATCCTAAAATCTCATTTCTCAGGGGTTGTAAGAGGGTTACACGAGGGGTGCAATGCTTCAACACAAGTAAAATAATAAGGACTAGTTTTAATACTATGTAATTAATTTTGGGAAATTAGAAAAATGAAACTTGCATAATGGCGCGAATATTTTTAAAATTCAATGAAATTTTAGTGGTAGAATGTATGCTCCACCATTAAATACACAGGGTGTCCGGAAACTACGGGCAATAAATTTGGAGGATACATAATTTCGTATTTAATGAATTCAAGACACGAGACCGCTATTCTGCATTGTGGTTTAATTAGATTTCAGTTTTAATAAAGTACTGGAAGAAATTAAGGGAACAAATAAATTTTTTAGTGATTTTTGAAAGTGAAAAATGGTCCTATCGAGATAAAAAAAATAGCAATTTGAAGCTTTAAGTCTCTAGTTTCAAGATATTGTGACAAACATTTTTTTTGAGTTACGATTACCGAGCAATCAAAAGAAATACCTGGCAAAAAAAAGAGAAAAACGGTTTGACGGATCAGCTTGTCAATTTCCATACAACGAACATTAATATACTGCTGTTGATACGATCTAATTGAGAAATCGCAGTAATATTGACAAGGTTTGTAAATAAATTATATGAAACGCCATAATATTAACTTTAAATGACTACAAAAATTAAAGAAATAAACTTTCCGAACTTTGGCTACTCGCTAAGAGATGGCAAAACAACAGGAAAAATTCGTAAAACAGTCAACTCGAAGCTCCACCCACTCACAGTTGATTGGTTCAGAAGTGACTGAAACCAGAAGTAGTTATAAATACTTACTAATCTATAACTACGTCAGTGTGTATTTGTTAGTAGCGTGTACAGCTTGGTGCGTGTGAGTTGGACTGATAAATATTATCCGTTCTGTCTTAAAATAGTGCTAGTTGCAAACATGTATAAACAAGCGGATATCAATTCTGAACATTTGAAATCTAAGAATGCTGGTGAGTGTTTTTAAATATATTTTCGGTTTATTTCGTATTCTAAGTAAATATTTTTTTACGAATTATTTCTTGGTTCGTTAATCAATTTTCAGAAATTTAAGTTTATCCAATTTCTAGAGATATTCTCAATCTTTCTCTCTTGTATCTGCTTGTTCTCGTTGCACATACAATTTACGGCATTTTGTAACAAATATAGTCGTTCACAAATTGAAAATTCCAATTTTCCAGATGCACCCGGAAAAACAACTGACGGTCCCAAATGCGGTTTGAATGAGAGTTCCAGAGACAGTGGCTTTATTTCAAACGAAAACTTACTGGTGTCTGAGGAAATCGTGACCGAACAGATGCAACCAACATCAGAAAATGCAGCTGATTCAGGAACTGCGAGGGAAAAAGGAGGAGATTCAATAAGCGCGGATCTCGACAGTTGTATTTTCGAAAGTTTTTCCAATATGAGCATCAATGATTTAAGCGATAGAGAAAGTTCCGTTGAATTTTGTGAAAGGTCCAAGTTAGAACCACAAGAACATGTTGCGAAAGCTCCTGATATATCCTGGAAGATATTTTACCAGCAGGATGATGATGGCGATACGTAAGTAATATTTTTGCCAAGTAATTTTTGTTTCTATTCCAATTTCACGGCTTTCTATGAGTTTTTAAACTAATTCAAACAAAACAATTATATATACACCGAGAAAAGGATTTAATTGAGAGAAATACAATTTATTAGACCCAATTAAGTCCCTTCCTTTTTTTATTGGCGAATTAAGATTTCTTCGGAGTTAATAAACCATTTTTTCAAATCAAATTATACTATTTCTTGAAAAACATATTTAGTTGGTATTACCTTTACAATTAAATGTACTTTTTATTTCTTTTTTATTTATTTACTATAAAAAATCTTGTGGGGAAAAATATATGTAGGCCAGAATAATAACAATTTCTTTCTGATTACATGGGAAATTCCTAATACATCACAGTACATGAAGATGATTATTTTGTTACTTTGTTGTTTTTAAGATATTTTATGACATGTTGGTTAATTGGAAATCAGCAATTATTATATTTTTATAGTTCGTCTAAATACAAATCAATGCACAAAAAAAAAACAGGATTTCGTATGCATTTATTACTGGTGGAATTTGGGAGTTTCCCACATAAAAATTTTTATTAAATGATATGAATCACAGTATAAAGTGATTATAAAATTACTGGTGACAGAATTTTAAATTAAACATAACTACGACTAACAAATTTTTATAACCGAGTAATTTGCATAATGAATTATCCATTTCGTCCATAATAATGCATATTCACTCCTCACGATATGCATGCACAGTAATGGTTGATGCTGTGTGGTAATATTTAAAGGGAGTTTTCCAGAAGAAGATGTTTGGAATTACATGATTCTCTCCAATTTATTAATATTATATTTACATGTTTAACGTTAAGTGTTTAGTTTTCTCCAATAAATATATTTGTAAAACCCTTGGATAGGCGCTGGAAAACTAGTATTTTGAAAATTTTGGAATGGTTGGACACACCAACAAAGTTTTGAAAAATAATATGTTTAAAACATATCACACAGAAAACCTGAAGTTTCCTACTAGTTTTAAGCAATATTTTTCATCAGTGTATACATGCATGAAATTAATTATGGTTATTTTTTTTTGTGGGTGAGATATAACAAAGTTTTTTCGATATTCTGTCTGTCGACACAACATCGGGCCACCTTGTATGCAAACGTGCCGCTAAAAACCCAGTTGTAAACATTGCTGAGGTAAATAACTGGTAATGCATCCAAGAAAGAATAGCTTTACAAGGTAAATGGTCGGTTTTTCCTATAATCCTGTCTGCAATTAGGTTGTTGCCGACAATCTGGTTTTCCCAAATCCCATATTAAAAATTCCTTAACCTTAAAATTATCCTAAATACCTACTTGATATTTCCTGGTAACCCTCTCCTACCGGCACGTAGGTTGTGGCGTGGAAATCTCCCGGATTCTCATAGTTTTCCCAATGATTATCGTAATTCGTTGGCGCCTGAATTGTTTGTTATCATCGCGGTTATCGGCATTTTATCACATAAAGGCGCCCCGTTGGAATTTTGCCGTCGAGGATATAAATTTGTCACACGTTTTCCCAAGTTTATAGTTTTTTATTCATACGGGTTATTCATTTATTAAGAGACAGCGGTAAATATGACCTTAATTTTTCTCTCTCTCACATCGTGGTTCATTAATGTGGCACTAACTGTTATTATTGAAGATATAACAAATGTCTTTAAATTATTTGTAAATATAGAGGGTGATGTGTCAAAGCGCGGAGGTCGATAGTCAGTTTTTTTTTTAAGGAGCATACCATAGAGTATGGTACAAATGAAAGGAATACATTAATTATTTCCCAAATCGGTGACTTTGGACAAAAATTCTGAAGCAGGTCAACTTTTATTCTTAAAATTGCTTTAGGCGAGATATTTGTTGTACATATGACGTCATCTGTGTAAACTGATGACGTCACCGACGTTTTTTTAAATACAAATGTGGATTATGCGACAGCTCTTTTGAAAGGTCTTGTAATTCTCTATTAAATCATATCAATAAGATTAGGAAATAGAATTTTGTATGGTGCCAAAACAAATTATAAAATTATAACAATAAAATGTATTTTTAACAACCCAAGTTACAATAGATTAGAGGCTGACAGATGTGACCTATTTTTAATAAAATTTTCCGCTGAATCCGAAAATGATAAAAAAATTTCTGACGTATGGATTCCCCCTCACACCCTAAACTTCCCCAAAAAATTAAAAAAATGCAAACTGACCATTCAACTAGTCCAATTAAATGGGCCATTAAATCGAAATTTGGTCAACTTACCTGAATTTTTTAGTTAATAGTTAGAGTTAATTTGAGGTACTTATATAATAACAATAAGTGACAGTAATTTTTTTTCAATCGACAGTCGGGGGCGAAAAAAGATAAAATAAAGGGGGTTTTCAAGATAAGTCAAAAGGGATAAGTGGTAGAAAAAAAAAATTCTGATAAAAGTTGTAAAGCATAAAATTCTACATAAAAATGGTGTATTGACTGGTGTATTGACTATTGATATAATGGTGGCTAGAAGTTAAGGGATGATTTCAGAAATTTAAAAAATCATAACAAGCAGCAAAATTAATGATTTTATAATTTTTTTTCAATCTACTCTAAAAAATGTAAACTTTCTTTTCAGAGAAATAGATATTTTTTTAATTTTTAATAAAAAATCGTAACAAGCAGAAAAATTAATGATTTATATATTTTTTTCAATCTACTCTAAAAAATGTAAACTTTCTTTTCAGAGAAATAGATATTTTTTTAATTTTTAATAAAAAATCGTAACAAGCAGAAAAATTAATGAATTTTATTTATTTTTTCAATTTACTCTAAAAAATGAACTATCTTTTCAGAGAAATTGAAATTGTTATAACTTTTTTATTAAAAATTAAAAAATATATATATCTCTGAAAAGAAAGTACATTTTTTAGGGTAGATTGAAAAAAAAATTATAAAATTCATCCATTTTTCTACTTATGATTTTTTAAATTTCTGAAATCACCCCTTAACTTCTAGCCACCCTAACTCTTTTAATTTTAATAGTACAAGAAAAAGTCAATAGAACATTATTATGTAGAATTTTATGCTCTATAACTTTTGTAAGAAACTTTTTTGTCTAGCTCTTACTACTTTTAAGTTATCTTGAAAAACTCCTTGATTTTATCTTTTTTGACCCTTAGCCGGGGGTTAAAAAAAATTACTGTCACTTATTATTATTATACACCTCAAACTAACTTATATCAAAAATTCAGGCAAGTTGACCGAATTGCGATTTGAAGGCCCACTTAATTGGACTATACCTATCTTTAGTAAAATTTTCTGAATCCGAAAATGGCAAAAAACATGGTTTGGACGTGAGGGATCCCCCCTACTCATCTGTCTGTCTCACTTGATTCTTTCAAAAATAAAAATAAATACAAATCAGACGTGGCAACCCTTATAACTTTTAAAAAACCTGTCGGTAAAACCAAAACTAAAAAATATTTTTGAACTAAAAGTTCCTTTGATCGTACACTTAACCTCGTCCCCAGCATTGATGACATTTTTCAGTGAAAGCTTACCGTTTTCCAAAAGCTCTTAAGTAACTAAGCTAGGTAGCATATTTTTCAATTTTCTAACAATTCGTACATGGCATTTAAAATACAATGTATTTGATCCCTTCTATTTGTATTTTGAAGTTTATTTTGTATTTCGTACAATGACAGAGCCAGCGCCGGATTATCCAGGGGGCTAGCGGGGGCTATAGCCCCGGGCCCCACAGGCTCCGGGGGCCCCATATGCTATTGGAAAAATAAAAAAAAAACAGACTAATGAACGGTAATAAAATACTTAATGACAATTTCTAATGCTATTTTTTACCTTAACAAATCATTTTCATTCGAAATGTATGTTGTATTACATATAAAATTTAATATTAAGGAAATAGCATACTAAATTAATTAACTTAAAAGGACTTTTGCTTCCTCATAAAGGAAGTTTAAGAGGGCCCCTTCCCTTCAAGCCCCAGGCCCCACCGAGGCTTAATCCGGCGCTGGACAGAGCTATTGCATTTTGTTAAATTAATGAAAATTTGAACTAATTTTGAGTAAAAATGACACACTAGTAAAATAAATTAAAAATAAAAAACCTCAACAGCCTCTAATTAATAATTATCTAAATGTAACCTTTCAAAGAAACAGAAACAGACGTAAAATTAAAATTAAATAAAGTGATAACATTTGACTTGACAAACTTCCTTCCAAAATAAAATGGGACATCTCGTGTTTATGCAAATGTTTTTAAGGAATTAGATATTAATATATTATTTAACTGTTTCTTAAAACGTTTGTGCGTCACGGGTTTTATTGCAATAAAATAATGCATGGCACATTTGATCGGTTTATGATACGGTCGAATCAAGGAAATAATTAATCATGCAGCAAATGTGTGCTTTGACCCCATGAGCGAACCGAAAAGTACTTTGCAGACGAGTTACATACAGTCTGTTTGATTATAAAGGAACCGGTTACCCATTTTTAGACACCCTGTGAAGTATATATACAGGGTGATTCACAAATGGTTACCAAAAATTGAAATCTCGTATTCTTTGGTGAATTTTAACGGGAGTCTTTCCTGTAAAGTTCTTATCTAGGAGGCTTCGTTAAAAATATTTTTAATTTTTTAAAATAATTTAAAAATTAGTACTTGAAATAATTTGAAATTGGGCACATGTATTTATGTAAACATTGCCCAAAATCTGAGGGCTTTTCCTAAAATTTACATGCTCCAGTGGCGGAGGTACAGGGTATCAGTGGCATATTTTTCTAAATAAAATAGTATCCCATTGATTTACGGTAACAATCATGACATTATCGGATTCGCATTTCAATTTTCTACAAATTACTACTCTCTTATGTTTTTCGAAAAAAGCCTGATTTTCGAGTAAAACTTAAAAAATCCAACTGAACCTTCCTTTACACTAACTACTAAAAAAAATATTGTAAACACTATGGCAACGACGACTGTAAAATCGTGGCTCTCCACGCGTATTACGAATGACACTACAGTTGTCCAGCTATATAATGGTTGAAAGTACTACAACTTCAATAATTTTTTTCTCGGAAACTATAAGGATTTTACAATTTTTTTTTACGATATTGACTCCATTTCTCATGCCGCATCTATTCCCAAATTTTTTTGGATAAGTTGTGAATCACCCTGTACTTATAAAATAATTTTCTGCGTCAATGCAAATCATCCTCTTAATTCGTAGCTAAATATAAATAATTCTTGAAATGCGATTTCGGACTGGATTATATTTTAGAAACACCCAATATATTGACCGGACCTACAACTCATTTTTATGTTTATCTTCTCATATTAACGATTTCTAAAATTGAATTCTTCTTGCTTCTAACCCCTCCAATCAATATTTTAGGTACCTCCACATCGCAATAGCAGAAGGATTCGTGGACGTTGCCTTAGCGCTAATAAGGGCCGTTCCACACCCCAGACTCCTAGACACGCCGAACGATGACGCGCAGACCCCGTTACATCTTGCCGTTAAAACTGCTCAATGGAGGGTAGCTCGGTGGCTCGTGGTGGCTGGAGCACGGCCGTGTCCGAGGGACCTACAAGGCGATTCGCCTCTACATGTCGCTGCTAGACTGGGAGACGTCAAGAGCGTCAAAGCCATCGCTGACCCGGTGAAGAAACAAGAAAAAGACACCCTCGCGTTCAACAGCAAAGGGTACAAATATCAGTGTTGCAACTTGGACCAATGGAATTATTTAGGTAAGGCGGTGTTCACACAAAATTACAAGCTTTAATGTCACATTCGATAAAAAAGGGACAATGAACAGTCAAGATCTACAATGAGTCTCTTTCTTAGACTATTGCATCCTCTTCTTACATTTGACCATGTCCTAAGGTTGACTATGAAAGCGTCTCTTCTTGTGACTCATGCTGCTTTTTCACTTTTCTCTTTCAACCCAGCAGACATTCATTCCAACGCTCAGTCATCTATAGACGAAGCCTTGAGTCGAGGAAAGCGGCATGTTTCCAACTTTCAAACACCAACCTTGACACTGCTACTCTTGAACAATCTGTCTATAACTTCCGAAAACAAAACGTTTACATTTAAACTTAAGAAACTCCTCTGGAAAGAGGTTTTCGAGATTTCAAACCGACTCGAGTAGTCAGTGATTGGAAAAAGTTGGAATTCATTATCTCGTTGCACCATAACCCGATAAGCCTATAACCTAATAACCCCATAACCCCGTGGCTTGTTATTTGAACGATTTTGACCGGAAAAATTCACGATCACTGTACTGTTACGTTTTCTCTGTTTAGCAACACAGAGAAAAATCTTCTAGTGACTTTGTAACACAAATCTGTAAGCCCCAGATCATGGGCCTATGGGAATGTAAGTTCCGTATTAAGAGATTACATAGTTTGCCTATACTTTTAACAAAATATTTTAAAATATTATTAATAATAATAATAATAATAGTAATAATGCGCTTAAGACAAAAAGTTTCTTTCTACCGAGACACTTGCTGCAGGAATTGTTAAAACTGGGCAAAACAATTTGTATGTTTCCGAAAATACCATTTTAAATTCCTTGTATAATATTTCTGTTTTTTTTAAATTTTTCTTCGATTATATATTATATATATATTTACTTTAAATTAATACCTGCCTTGTCCTTATCCTTAAAGCCTTTGTACTATCCCTCACACTCAGACACTATCCGCGTACTATGCGACTCGTACATTAACCGCGAACTCAAAGACTGAAACTATAAGCAGCTTTAAGCCCGCCTCAGTTCCCTCCTAATAACGTTATTTTAACCGCCTCGCGTGGAGGGGGAACTGTAGCATATTGTAGGCAAGTGTGACGCGCCTACAAGCAAAGAATTTCTGGCCTCACTGTGGTGGGGACTAGCGGGGAGTAACAGTATCCATCATGCCACTGTGTACTCACTTCTGTCTAAACACAAGAATTTAGTATTACAATAATTTCCCGGCTTCTGTCCCATAATCCTTATTTAATTTAAGAAAAAAATGTAATTTTTTTTGTGCTTCGCAATAATTTCACTTTTTCTTTATTCAGGTGAAACTTGCGTTCACGTCGCTGCTTTACAGGGGCATGTGGAGGTGCTGAGGCAACTGCTATGGTACGGTGCGGATATAAATGCCAGAGAGGGACGCACGGGGTACACAGCTTTACATTACGCCGTTGAAAGAGGAGACGAGGCAGCAGTACAGTTCCTGTTACAATGCGAAGGGCTTGACAGCGAAATAGAAACGTATGGGGGATTAACCGCGTTCGAGATTGACCCCTTACTTCCTACTGGCATAAGTAAAGCACTGAAAAAGAGGGGAGTAACGTTTTCCTTCTTTAGCGATGGAGATGACGATGACACCGACAGTGAATATAGTGGGGATTAAGTAAGTAAGACAAAGTATGTTCCAGTGAAAAGATGACTGGTGATTGAAATATAAGGCGTTATTTTTGCTTTATTTTTACTGTACAGGGTGTCTGCAGGATACGGGTGTTTAACTTGTGGTAATATAGATCAATGGTAGCTATAAACAAAAATGTTAGCATATTTTTTCAATTATTTCCAATAAACTTAAAAATAGAAATTTTATCACTTTAATTTTGAAAGCATTTATTCCGGTTTTGCCTTATAGTCCGGGCGAATTAGGTTTTTTTTCAAAAATCGGGCCTGCCACGAATTTTATGGGCTTAAAATTAAGTAAAAAATACACAGAATAAAAGCCTAAATTTGTGTATTTGTAGAAGTCGAGCGTCATATTGTTTATAACAAAAGAAAAAAAAATAAATAATTTATTATAATAAGGAACAAAATCGATAAGCATACCTCATGTCGATTAGAGGCTTATTTTCGGAGATATAAGCGAAAAACTGAAAAAAGAGCAATTATTATTTTTTTCTTTTGTTATAAACAATATGACGTTCGACCTCTACAAATACGCAAATTTAGACTTTTATTCTATGCATTTTTTACCTAATTTAAAGCCCATAAAATTCGAGGTAGGCCCGATTTTTGTAACAGGCATGCGTTTGGTCTAATTCGCCCGGATTATTAAATTTAAAAAAATATTCAAAATCTGTTATAATTCGTTGTGTTAATGATCAAAGTAAAACTGTCCTAGACCTGTAACTAATACGTTTGTTATTTTTATTGCAGTTTTCAAGGGGTTCCTACAAACGCCAGTCTCTAAGCTGTCACTAAACAACTGACAACGGAGATCGGACGTCAAAAGTTGAAATCGTGCAACAGAATGCAGAAAAACACAGAACGGGGTTAGATGGAGAGATAGAACTGCCATAACTTAAACAAAATCTGTGATTTCAAACCTGTTGTAAATAAATCTCATTTTAGAATTTTTTTTCCTACAAACTGATTTTTTATACGAATTGTGTATATAGCATCTATAATTTAACTTCTAATTAGTATCTTTTAAATTAAATGTATATATTAGGTTAAAATGTGACATAAAAAGTGGTAAATATAGTTATTTATTATTACAAAATAGTGTATTTCTATATCCTCTCCCTTTCCTCAACTTCTAATGATCGTAAAACCAGAATGCAGTGCAGAGCAAATTTATTACAAATTTGAGAATGTTTGGAAGTTCTGAAAAGCCACATGCTAAGAACTATGAAAGAGTTGCCATAACAACTGGAGCAATCAAATAATATATGTAAAAAAAGTTTACTTTGCATACTCCTACTAATGATTATCATTATTTACCATAAAATCAGTAAAAACCACGGTACGGTTTCTAAGAACAGACATGACAATGTCTTCATAAGGTCTGTACTTCCAAGTAGGTATTCCGATAATAATTAATAGGAATTTACAGGTGATTATGAGGTACTAAATCCAATATCCGATTATTAAAAGTTTTATTAACTGACCCTAATTTTGTTCACAGAAAAATATTTATTATTTAAATTTGTTTCCATGAGATTTTAAATACATGTGGCAAGAAATTTTCAAAAGAAAACTTAAATTAAATGTACTCTCGAAAAACAGCACAGCAATCACTACAATGATGACTTACGAATGCAGTTCGGCTTCACAAGAAACCTACAAACTCGTCAAAAGTGTTACAGAATATTTTGTAAGTACTCGCCGAGATAAAATACATGTAGTTCAGCAGTTCCAAATCAGTTTTAAACACATTTTTAATTAGCTTTTGACCTTAAACTTCCGATACAAGTTTGTGAGACCAGTTAACTCAGTTTTTGCTCCTTTTTCACCCCTTTAAATTTTTGTCATAAGTTCATTAACACCCTGTACATATATAGTCTTAAATGTGGCTAAATTTACTTCAACGTTGTATGCCCTGCCACAAGGCTCTGTTTCGAGGCCATTTATGTTCACTACACGTGTAAATGATAATTTCTAAGGGACATAATTCCGCTTTCGTTTTTTTGGTAGGTACAAAAACACTATGGATTACAATTTTTTTGCAAATATTTAAAATGATTTTTTTATTATAATTACTATTTTATGCACCTAAATTATTATTTAAAATGTAATGTAGTAGAAAAAATATTTTACACAATTCGTTTGTGTGTGTGTGTGTGTATTATTCACTCATGAAATAGAGCTATTTTACATTTCTAATACAGGAAGTAATATTTCCAAAATGTGTGGTATTCTAACAATTATGACAACTGAGCCTAAATAACATCTTCAAAAATTTGGTAATAGGCGGGAGATTTTGCAGAGTGACAGGTGATAAATTTGCAAACACGTTTTTAGCCCCGCCCCCTAGAACTGATTGGTCCTGAAGTCATGGAACAGGGGGTAGTTAGGTATAAATGCATATGTTTCAATATCTATTTATTACTGTTTTATATTCGACAGTTTGGTGTGTGTGTGTCGAATTTTGTTCGAAATTTAAAAAAAAATATCAGTACTAGCTGAAAGCCATGTCCAGGCAAGTAGAAAATAAATTGGAATACTTAAAGCAATGGACGTCGAATTCTGGTGAGTTCTATAATTAATTTTTATTGTTTTTTGTAATTTCAAAAATGACTGTGACATCCACTTTCAGTTTTGCTCTTGCATGTGTAATAGCTTATATTTCTAGTTAATAGCTTATAAGTTATAGTCCGTACAATATTTGTTGACATGGAATTCCAAGGAAACCTCTGCGTCACTTTCCTGGAATTAACTGCATTCGACACCCGAGGTAGACATTAAATTTCAAGGCACGCTCGTGTCGCTGTAAATTGTTACATTAGTTCCGATAACAGAACTTTATTAGCTTATTATTTTCTTAGCATCCCAACAAATATTTTACGGATTGTAATAATATGCCATATACACTGCGAAGAACCTAACCTCAAAAGCCTCAGGAAGAGGTCGTGACTAGCGACCTCTAGCAGATGGTTAAAAACTAAAAACATCAAAATATTTAGCATCTTCAATAACTTATTATCTTCCTGTATTTCTGCCACTGGTTCTATACAAACAAATTCACAGGATTTTTACCTTTATTTAGTTAATATTTCAAAATATTCTCGTATTTGTGTTGTTTTTCAAAAACTCGAACACCTTGTAACTGACAAAAGAAGCAACTATGGACTAAGGTATTATTTAGTTTAAAAATCATATTTTAGCCACAAGATTATCTGATAGTATTTGCACTCCTTCTTTTAAATACACCCTGTATATGTTTACAACGCCTTTTTTTCTTTCAGTTGGCTTCATTGCTACTGATCGCGAGGGCAAATCCCAAAATAAGACAATGTTCGTCGGAGGAGATGACATCGCACAACAACCACCGCCTGCTTTAGTAAGGTAAAACATCTATGTTATTTTTTCAGAATTTTGTTTTAAATAAATATTATTTCACGTCAGGAATATCGTCAAGGAATTGATTTTTACTTGTTCTTTTGATTAACCATAGAACCTTACACTAAGAAAGTAGATAATTGCTCCAGATTTTCCTGTTTAGACAGCAAAGTTAATTTTTCGAAAACTTTGGGACCTCGTTCTTTACGTTGATTTACTAACAATGTATATGTTTAATGTTATTATAAATATCTAGTATCTAATGTTTGATGTTTAGTATCTAATTAATTAAGTATATAATAATAATTAATTAATAATAATAATTAATTAAGTATATTTTAGTTAGTTAATCTCTTGGAATGCACGTTATAAAAATTTGTGTCTTTTAAATTACCTTATTTTCAATTTAATCCAAAATATTTTAATTTATTTATTTATTGCTGTAAGAGGTAAGGGACCTAATCCCTAAGATTGTAAATTCCAGTGGCGGGACGGGCTTCACTGTAAAATTTGTCTCTCACACTCACATTCATTTATTTACTTTATTTACAGGTTGCCTTATGTGAGAATAATTGAGCAGCCAGCTTCAAAAGCGCTCAGATTTCGTTACGAGTGCGAGGGAAGATGTGCTGGTTCTATCCCAGGAGCCTCTAGCACTCCACAGAAGAAGACCTTCCCGACGATTCAAATTGTAGGCCATCGAGGCAGAGCTATGGTAGTCGTCTCGTGCGTAACAAAGGATACACCCCACAGGTGAGTAATTCGTTTGGTTAAAAAGGTAGACAAATTGTGGCAGATCTTACCGCAAAAATTGAGTGAAATTTCACTCACATCACACTCAGCAATTCCTACCCACACTGGATTGAGTGAAATTTTCACTCTGACAATATGAGTACTATAACAATTTTATGAGTGAAACTATGATTTGTTTTTAATAGTTTTACCAGTGTTTTAAAACAGAAATAATTTTACTGTAATCTGAGTTTCTGTTACTTCCCAATGAGTGACTGTTACAATTTCGTTCTATTTCACCATTATTGAGTTAATTTTTAGTCAGATTTGATTACAGTGTCGCAGTAACAAAAATGTAATCTTCTGCATTTAGTGAAATTGTTTCCTTGCGACGTAACAAATGCAATTAAATTATTTTAGTAGAATTTTACTAATATTCAAAAGTACACTGTAAAAAAAATCGGTGTGAGTGAAAGCAATAAAGGTTCGGAGTGAATCAATTGAGTGAAATTATTTTCACTCAATAATACGAGTCGTTAGATTAATTCATATTAGAGAAAAAGTCAACTCTTAATAGGTTTTACACACTCAGAGTAGAGTCAGAAGTCACTCACATGATAGCAGAAACTAGGGTTTGAGTAAAATTCACTCCCTTCTATTACAATAGTTTCACTCATAAAATTTTAAGTGTACTCATATTAGTGAGTGAAAATATCACTCAATCGGATGTGAACAGAAATTGATACATTATTGAGTTAAATTGAGTGAATTTGAGTGAAATTTGGAGATATTGGAAATAAATTAAAACAAAATCATGTAGTTAGATATTTTATAATTTAACTTATGTTACATTTTTGAGTGTTCTTCTTAAGCTGTTACTTTACATACATTCTTTATAATTTGTTAACTAAATAACTATCATCTTTTATTTCAGGCCACATCCTCATAATCTGGTTGGAAAAGAAGGATGCAAAAAGGGAGTGTGTACGTTAAATGTGCCGACAGATACCATGACCGTCCACTTCTCGAATTTGGGCATACAATGCGTGAAGAAAAAGGACATTGAGCAGTCACTGAAAATCCGAGAGGAAATCAGAGTCGACCCCTTCCGAAGTAAGTTTTTACGCGTATTTTAAGAATTTGGCGTCATGGTGATTGACTTTGTTACAACTTTGGAGACAGAAAGCAGATTACGTACTTTACCTTACGCGTTGTCATTATTTTCAGCTGGATTTGGACATGGCAGTCAACCTGCCACGATAGACCTGAACTCCGTGAGGTTATGTTTCCAAGTTTTCCTTGAAGGTAACACTCCTGGAAAGTTCTCTCTGCCACTTCCTGCCGTTGTCAGTGACCCGATATTCGACAAGAAGGCTATGTCAGACCTCGCTATCGCCGAACTCTCTGACTGCGTGAGTTATGTAGACGGGGGGAGGAAAAACATAATCTTACTTTGTGAAAAGGTAAAGTGAACACGCAGTATTTGGTAACACAAAATTAATTCTATGTTTATGACTTCTAAGTTCTATAAATTAAGGAAAAATGTTGTTGAAGTCAATACCTAAGAATAATGACCCAAACCAAGTATCAGACTTAAGACCAAGCTAATTTCCTTATTCATTAGGTTTGTTAAATACTGTCCTATTCATTGGTGATATTCAGCTTTATTATTAATTTAAGTCCATGGATTATGAAGAGCTACTGCTGATATTTATAACGTTTCTAAAAATCATCAACTACTTCTGAACCTCTCTAAATCTAAGCTGCTCTTCCTTTTTTGCATCTAACATGGAAAATTTAATTAATAAATTAATGAGTTCGAGATAAAAAAAATGTTGAAAGTGGTACAAATTTAGGCTTAATTAAAAATAAAACCTATTGTATTCATATAAATTAAAGAATAAAATAGGACCTAATACAGTACCTTGAGGAACGCCGACCAGAAACCAAGTTAAATATTCAAAAAGAGAATTATTCATTTTGACTTTTTGTACGCGATGTAAGAATTAACTCCTAAAAATGTGTGTTAAATTCTGTTTATAGGTGACCAAAGAAGATATCAGCGTACGATTTTATGAAAACGAAGGTGAATGGGAAGCTTATGTGAAACCCATACGGGTGCACAAGCAACACGCCATTTGCTTCAAGCCGCCGAAGTACAGGGATCTGGATGTCAAGGAACCTGTGAGGGTCTTCATACAACTTTACAGACCTTCTGACGGTGCCACCAGCAAACCCCTTCCCTTTGAGTTGCTGCCCCTTGAATCAGGTAAACCGAGTAGCAGTAATTTTGGTGACATTAAAGCGTTCGAGACTATTTCAAGCGTTTTAATACGTATTGATTTTCCACAATGGTACGATCTTTTGGAACCACTCATTCCATCAATAGCTCTGAATACACAAATCGCTAAAGTAGAATTTACGATAACCTAAAACAGAACAAGCTATTTTTCTGTTTACTACAAAAAACAGGACAAAAGAGCAGACGGCGCGCTATCTATTTATCTATTTTTATCTAGGGACGATTCCAGAAATTCTCAATAAGTTTTATTATTATTAAATTTAAGCACTTTTGCATTTTTAACACGGTTTTGATTATTGAAAGTGTAGATTTAATCATTCTACTCGACATTAAAATTTTTTTACTAAGTCTGTAAACATCCTGTATAACCGAGGATCTGACAGCTTTAAAAATTGTTAGTATTTTACTTTAATTTAATTATTAATTGTTAGTAATTTATTAGTAGTTACTTTACACGTTTGTTGCATAAATAACTATTACTTATTTTCTCTATAATATTTTCAGAACCAGGCGTATTAAAAAGGAAAAGGCAGAAGATGGAGGACCCTATTTTGAAGAGTCTACAAAATGTTCACAGTAAGTTATTTTTCCCTGAATTACTAATTTTGGCATCATCCGTTGAAGACCTAATTCTATGACCTTTCAAACTGTCAAACTGACAATTATTTTGGTTCAAATTTAGGAAAAACAAATTTTTATACATTAGACCTTTTGAAACACGTATCATAAGTTTGTTTGACTATTTTTAACTTTTTTTCATTATTTTAATATCTTATCGCGGCAAGGTATGACTTCAAACAACCGCGCATGCGCTGGCAGCGAGCGCATATCCAATTAGGAGCTTGTTGTCTCTCTTAAGTGAAAGGGCGACCAATAGTTTAGCAGCCACGTGCTTGACCATTATTTACACGATTGAAATATGCCGTATGTGTTGTTTTATTTCATTTTAATTTTATGCAGTGGCGGCTCTTGATTTCCATAGTTACCAGGGAGAGCGGGAAAATTTAGGTACTAAGTACAGATATTAAAAAAAATATTCGATATAGTTGAGTAGTTAGGGAAAATATGCTCAACATTATTTTTTACAATTAAAATGGCAAAGAGCGACAATCGGTTAAAATGACGACAAGCATTGATTTATTTTGCTAATGTTATTACCTACCTGAACTGTACAGTAATTTCTATTTCTATAACGATTAAAAAAAATCTTGCTATCAGTCTTTGTTCAAACTTACATATTTCATAATGTTTATTCTTCAGGTTTTTCTTCCCCTTACAACGATTTCAATCCGTATGGTGGCGTTAGTCCAGAATACGTCTCCAATCTGCCTCATCAGAACTACACAGGACCAGGACCAAGTCAGAATAATCCAAATGTCTTAAGACCGAATACTCAAAGTCCGATTTGGAACATTCCTCCAAGCACAAACTTCGTGCCTCAATTGTTACAGGGATTTGACAGTCAGTTAAATTCGGATGAGGTAGACGCCACCCTCAAAACCATGGTTGAGGAGTCTTCCTATCTTCCGGATATAAAGAGTCTCTCCCTTTCGGATATTTCACCAAATTAATGGCAAGGTCAGTTGACGTATAAAAGGTGTAAGTAAACAAGTGTGAAAAAATGAAAGGGGTGCGAAAATCCATAGGATTTAAATCCGGCGTTCGAGAAGGCTAAAACTGAGATCTGCTACGACCTATCCAACGATTTAAAAGTGCTTTAAATACTGTAGTGTTCTTACGCTGAAATTGACAGGAACCACATCAGCATAAATCATCAATTCATTGATATCACCAATCATGTGCGAGTTTTTCTGAGTTCTCAAACTCAGAAAAACATGGTTGACAAATTCACGATCTTTTCGAAGTAGAAAATTACGTCACTTTCCAATACATCTAGAAACTTAAATTATAACGCGTTAATAATTAGGGACTTTTAAAAACGCAATTTTGTAAAAATAATAAAAAAGGGCAGTCCGAAAATGATTTAAAAGTACACTTCTACACGGCATTGGAAACTGGTCCCCTATACAGGGTGTTAGAAATTTGACTACCTCAATTTTAACAGACGATAGAATACATTAAAATAAACAAAAAAACCTTATATGACATGGGTCCTAAACTCAACCATTTTCGATAACAAAATTATCAAAATCGCCAACTTGATGTACAAATGTTCGATTAATTAAGGAATATTGACATAACTGCGTGCATAGAATACCATAAAATACAATGTTTACCACTTTTTTGAACTTCTTTATGCTTAATTCTAAAAAATAATTAGCGTTGTAATAAATTTAAAATTCGATAAAATTCATATCGAGCAATGTGACAACGCGGCGGTACTAAGCTGTCAGTTCAGTTGGTATCTGGAATTCGACCGTGTCTGAGTGTTTTTTGCGTAGCACTATTTCCTTTTCTTGAGGTGTTTTTCAGCGAGTGCGCGAAAATTGTATTCGAAAGTGTCGTGCGTGCATCGAAAATGGTGACAGACATTTCGAGCATATGTTGTAGTTTGTTTTGTACTTGTGCGTTTAAAAATATTTACTAAATGTTTTACAATAATAGTTGTTTACATTTTTTTCCGTAGTACTGATACGCCACACTGTTGATTGGGACATTCCTTGCACTCGTTGAGCGGTTTGCTTGGTACTTACTTAGGGATTCCCTTCAACAATCTCTAAAATGTGTTCCTCAGCTACTCCAATACGCCGTGGACGCCCTGGACCTCCATCTCTTCCACGATTAGGACGAGAACCTGCTAAAGCATTTTCTCTTGTTAAAACGATATCCATCAACACTGAGTTGCTGTACACGTAAGCATTTTTGACACTTGAAAAACTAATGTAAACACTATCGCAACGACGACTAAAATCGGATTTCAGTATTCGGAATCGCACAGCGCACAACGCGAGTGACGCTAAAGACTACAGTAGCCCGACGATGTAAAGGTTGAAAATACTACAACTTCAATATTTTTTTCTCGGAAACTATAAGGATTTTACAAAAAATTCTTTTGCGATATTGACTCCACATTTTACGACGCATCTATTCCCAATTTTTTTGGGGTCTCTGGAAAATAACCGCTCTTATTGGACTACTAATTTGAATTAGGCAGTAATAAAAATGCGAAGTACTGGTGAGTGATAGATTGAAAGATCAGCACAGTAATAAACACCCTTTCAAGGGCATAGTGCGACCCTGAATCCTTTCAGATATTCCGGCAACGTTCGAGGCAAATAGCGGCGACCGGCGTTGTGATACGATGTTGTATTTTATTACATCACATTTGTGTCTATGTGCGTTCTATATGTACCATTTCGGACACGTGACAAATTACCGCATTTACATGGATGCTGTCAAGAATGAGCACTTAAAACACCAGCCTTTATGAATAAAACCGATGAGATGCTCGACTGTAGCCGGTGACGTATATTAACGCTCACACTCCGCTCAACAATGACTACCCCCACGCGTTATTATATTGATGACATGTCAATACATAAATTACATCCCGCTAACAATAACATTTAATTGCTGAAATTAAACGCCCATAATGATATCTTCATAGTGCCGTAGGGGAGCGTCTATGCGGCACATGTGACGCAAGGAACACCATCAATTACGGCATTTTTGTGTGTTCAATAAACCTTTTCATAGGTGGCTTTGTTCTAGTTGTAATTAATCATGCGCGGCATACATAGATAATTATATAAGCCTCGCGGAAAAGTTGTAATGGAACGCCCTTACGACTTTTCCGCTTATTTTTATTTATATAAAATCGTTCTTTACATAAATGACCCGCGACTATCAATTACGCCCTAAAAGTTGCTAGCTTGGGGCGAAAAATCTGAGTCACGCTAGATAAAACTTGCCACCGTCGAAGATAACAGTAATTAATGTAAAAGTCTATGTTAAATGGCTTTTGACATGATTTTGTGATTCTCATTTATTTATCTTATTTCCGGAGTTTACGAATATCTTTAGTGAAAAATGTACCCACAGGTCTTAAATCAGGAGTATTTGCAGGCCACTTTACCTATCCAAACAATAAAATAGTATTCAATATCGTATATTGAAAATATTATTAAACAATTGCACGCCTCCTCATAATTCACACAGCACTGGAAAGATACTAAATACCATTGATAATTTTTGGTTAGGTTGACTTGATTACATTCAGTGGCCTGCAAATAGCCCCGATTTAACTTCTCTGAACATAAATATTGAATATGGAAAAAAATAAAGAAGTCATTAGAGACAAATTTAACAATGCTTGAACATGTTTAAACGTGTTAAAAAACAGAGACGTGTTAAGGGCCGTGCTAAAGCTTAGATTTTCCATTCGGTTAGATGTGAGATGGAATACCCAATTAAACGATTATCCAATTCTTTTTACGGCGTTTGTTGAACGACAGCCGTTTTAAAATTTAACAGGATTGAGGGCGAAAACGCTCAATTCTCGAATGAAACTAAGAGTGCTTATTTCATTCAAAGTTGCCTTATTAATAATTAAATGACTAATGGTATATTTTCTTACAAATTAAGTGTCGAATTTCCATTTTAGGATTAAGGTGTAGACCTCTTGAATTAACTTTGCCCTCAACATGAGCTTTAGAGATTATTAACTAATTACAGGGAAAGTATTTCGTAAATATGTCACATAGCATAATAAATTACAGTTAAAAGTGTTAAAACTAACACAAAGTGAACAATGACTATAAGATTTATGTCACTGTGAAACACGTAATTTTTTTTACGCATCGTTGCCATCGGTTCCACAATCTGGATGGGATCCCTTATAGATCGCATCATCACGTATGTTTCTACCCTTGTTTCAACAAGGCTCAAATCTTGGACCAGTACTTACTTTATTTTTATGAATTTTTAATTTTTAATTGGACATAATTACTATGTTAGAACCGTACATATTTTTATTTGGGCATAGTCCGTCCCTGGCGTTCTAGGCATAATGAAGTTTCACTTAGAACATCAAAAACAAGCTGTACGCATGATTATCGATCACCATATGTGCATCATGTTGAAGTTAATGGTTTAGAGAGTGTAAATAAAAATACCTTTTTAATTTTCACATTTGAGGGCCCGTAACTTGTTAACGAAGGCCCGTATGAAAAAAATGTATATGAAGAACTGATATTATTTTCACCTCTATTTGTACTCGACTTTGTTGTACAAGTACCCGGACACCCTGTATAAGAATAATTTTTTTTGTAGGTTTGTGTAATCTATTAGGTAGTAGGTATGTCTAATTTTAAATAAATTGCGTTCCTAATTTTTATCATCGTTCTGTCTGTATTTTTAAGTACTGTTATTATACAGGGTGTCCAAAAAGTCTGGAAACACCTGAATAATTTCCCAGGTAAATTATTTAAATTGTGACCTTGGATTTGACCTTGACGATGACCTTGAAGGTTATTTCAAGGTCACCTCCATTTTTTGAATGGAAACCTCCTTTTTTGACGTCGGCAATCGAAAGAGCGGGAAATTTTACGTCCAAAAACTCAGAGTTTACCTTGAAGATCATTCAAAGGTTATTTAAATTTGAGGGCCGGATATCTCCGAAGGACGCAGTTGATGAAAATAGTACAAAGCTCACTTTAGTTATTTTGTTTAATTGCAATTAGTGGTGATCTCAAACTCGACCTTCTTGGTGTCCTTCAAGGTCATTTCTAGGTCAATTTCATCGGAGATATCCAGCCTTCAAAATTAAATAACCCTTGAATGACCTTCAAGGTCAACCCTGATTTATGACCTTAGAGTTTTTGGACGTAAAATTTCCCGCTCTTTCGATTGCCGATGTTGAAAACGTGGGTTTCCATTAAAAAAAATGGAGGTGACCCTGAATAACCTTCAAGGTTGTCGTCAAGGTCAAATCCAAGGTCGCCATTGAATTCCTAGTTAAAAGTTACTACAAGAATGACTAACATTTTTCAAAAATAATTTACCTGGGAAATAATTCAGGTGTTTCCAGACTTTTTGGACACCCGGTATGTATATTTTAAATGATTTGTACTTACATTGTAATATTTATTTCTATTTCTTGTAACTGGGCGTAGCCTGTTAAATAAACGCTATTGTTATTCATTAAAAAAAAATTGAGGTTCTCAGTGTTCACGTGGATTTTAGTTCATAAAAAAGATATATCCCCGCCTACGCAGATACGTGTTTTTTAAGTTGGAGTGAGTAAAATCTTCAATTAACATTTTTTAAAATCTCGAAGATGACGAGAAACCATTCGCGAGTGAAACGCGAATGAGACGCCACTGGTACCGGCCAAAGTATTTATTATTAAATGTGTATGTGGTTTGCTTATATCAGGATTCTATTGTAATGAATTTAATTTGGGTGTAGTGTTAGTTGAAGTTCACTTTAAACCACCATGTAGATTATTAATTATAGTTACAATCTCAATGAAAAGGCCAAGAGCGGACCTTAACTAATTCAATTTGTATAACTTAATATCCATGCAGTACGCATGTCTATCTACAAACAAAAGGGCGTAACATGGAATACATTTAATATTCAACCACCGACACCCCTAAATGAAATTATA